CACACACACACACACACACACACACACACACACACACACACACACACTCAATTCTTCAGGGTCTAGCCTTGCATTCAGGAGGTGCTGTGATATATACTGGGCACATGGGTGGATAAATAATTAATGGCTGAAAGAATTAACAGAAAAGCCAAAGAGATGCCTGGGCATCAAGCTCCAGGAAAATTTAGAGTAGTAAAGACCCCCACTCTTTTGTTATGTTCTTGGTGGCCCAATGGGCAGTGAGCACAGTGTCAGGGCAACCTTGACATGTTACCATGGGACAGTCGGCCTGCCTGTGATGGGCTAGGAACCTACTCACTACAGCAGAGCAAAGTGCCCTCATAACTGGGAGGAGTTGATGCCCTGGGACCTCAGGCTCCTAGGGTTTATGTGGGAATGCATGGGCATGGGTGAGGCTGCAAGGTCATCTGACCTTGGCTCCTTGACCCACAGCTGGTGGTAGCTGGCTTCTCCATCCACGTGGAGATTGCACGAGCACATGAGATTGCCAACGAGGTGCGGCGGGTCAAGAAGCAATTGAAGGACTGTCAGCACCTAGCCATGCTCTACAACAACCGCGAGCGCATCTTTGGCCTGCCTGTCACTAACGTAGGCCTCCTGCGGGCGCCCTGCACCTTACCCCCCAGGGCTTGAGGAAGTGGCTTGTGTCTATAGCCATATCAAGACTGACTTGATTGCCAGGTGGCAGGGCTCTGGTGTTTGTGGGGTTGGACCAAACAGGCTGGCAGAATGGAGATAGTTCAACACTGGCTCTCAGGTTGAGGAGGCCACTGGAACCTGGCAGGAGGCCTGAGGCTCACCTCAGACCTGGCTTAACAGCTCAGAGCCAGCAGTCAGGAGCAAGGAGAGGAGAGGACCTGGCCCAGGAAAGGTACCATGGAGAAAGACTGGGAAACGTCTGAGACAGCCCCAGTCCTGCCCTTTTGTCCTCAGTATGACAGGCTCTCCAGGATGGTGAAGGAGTTCCAGCCCTACCTGGACCTCTGGACCACAGCCTCGGACTGGCTGCGTTGGTCTGAGAGCTGGATGAATGACCCTCTGTCAGCTATTGATGCCGAGCAGCTGGAGAAGAACGTCATTGAGTCCTTCAAGACCATGCACAAGTGTGTGAAACAGTTCAAGGACATCCCAGGTAGGCAGCCAAGCCAACTGATCCCCTCCTTCCCTGCTTCTGCCAGCTGCCTCTTATGATGCCCTTCTGTCCTCTCTGGCAGCCTGCCAGGATGTGGCCTTGGACATCCGGGCTCGCATCGAGGAATTCAAGCCATATATCCCGCTGATCCAGGGGCTGCGCAACCCTGGCATGCGGAACCGGCACTGGGAGCTACTGTCAAATGAGATCAACATCAACGTCAGGCCCAAGGCCAACCTGACCTTTGCCCGCTGCCTCGAGATGAACCTGCAGGACCATATCGAGAGCATCAGCAAAGTGGCCGAGGTGGCTGGCAAGGAGTATGCCATTGAGCAGGTGGGCAGCCAGCAGCAGGCCCATCCCACCCAGGCCCTGCTGGACAGCCTGGCCTCCAGCCTGGAATCTAGCTCTGGCAATGACAGCTTCTTGCGGGGAATGACAGTAATGCACTCCATCCCTGGGGTCATGATGCCCAGGGGTGTGGTGCATTCTATTGAGTTAATAATGCACATAAAGTGCTTAGCATCATGTCCACCATTGCTATTATTACTCAGTTACTTCTCTCAAGGTTCCCAGGAAGGAGCTGATAGCATTATCCCCATTTAATAGCTGAGTAAGTTAAGTCTCAGAGAGGTTTAGCCATCAGCCAAGGTGACACAGCCAGTAAGACAAGTACCCACACTCTTAACCTTAGCTGCTTCCCAACACATGTGTACAAGCATGTTGCACATATGTGAGAATGAGTCAGGCCTGAGTTCAGACAAGCTGAGAGTATTTGCCAGAGGAGCCCATGTGGCCAGGCACAGTCTGTTCTTCTCTTCCTGGGGTAGGGAGTGAGACAAGGCTGCGTCTCAAAAAAGGGCTGACCATCACACTGTCTGGCCAGCCTTTTCCTGAGACCCAACCTTGACTCACCCCCCACCCCAGGCACTGGACAAGATGGAGAAGGAGTGGTCGGCCATCTTGTTCAATGTACTGCCCTACAAGGAGACAGACACCTACATCCTCAAGAGCCCAGATGAGGCCTCGCAGCTGCTCGATGACCACATTGTCATGACCCAGAGCATGTCCTTCTCACCCTACAAGAAGCCCTTTGAGCAACGCATCAACTCCTGGGAGAACAAACTGAAGCTGACCCAGGTGGGCCTTCCTCCCCTGTCCTTCCCTCATCCCACCTCTACTTCAAGGAGCCTGTCTCACACGTGTACTGGTGGTCTCTGGGTAGGGCTTGAGGCGACAGAGTGCCCTACCCATGTTCACACAGTTCCTGGCTTCCTGGCAGGGCCCCATTCAGAGGGGGAAGACTAGCCTGGGGTGCTCGATCTATGAGGTTCAGCTGCTGAAAGAAGCAGTTAAGGATGTGGAGGAATGGCGTTTGTTCCAGAAACATGACTGAGGAAGGACACTGGAGCTACCAATAGGCCTCTGAAGGATGCCTGGGCTCAGGAAACCAGGACCCCCAGTATTGGAACTTTTGGGCTAGGCACCATGAGGCCCCAAGGCTCCTCAATGCCTTTTCCCATCCTTCCATTCCCATCTCATTTGGAACTACTTTGGAGGAAGGGGTCCAGGGCACTGGGAACTGCCCTTGTGAGACAAAGGCTCTTTTTTTTTTGAGTTGGAGTCTCACTCTGTCGCCAGACTGGAGTGCAGTGGCCGGGAGCGGTCACTGCAGCCTTGACCTGCTGGGCTCCGGCGATCCTTCTGCCTCAGCCTTCCAAGTAGCTGGAGCTACAGGCGCGCGCTACCACACCCGGCTAGAGACAAAGGCTCTTAAGGAGAGGGCTACCCACAGAACCTTGGAGGGCAGGCCCAGGGCTAGCCTGAAGGTATAATCCTGACAGCCCCTTCCTTGAGGCCTTCCTGGGAGCTGTTCAGAAACCTCTAGTGAAGGCCAGAAGCTTGGTAGGGGGCTTGTCTGTATATCCCTGGACCACCTAGAGTCACCTGAGCTGGTCAGCAATGTCCCCGGTTCTCCCTCCTTTCCTCACGCTGTCCCCTCTACCTTCCATCTCCTCCAAGGTTCAACACCAAGCAGCCTCTCTGATTCCCCTCACACCTACCTACAAGGTGTTCCCGTCGAAGTCTCTTACAGAGCCTACCACACACACTGGGTTTTGGTGATTCAGGGGCAAAACTTGCCCCTTAGTGTGGACAGTGGGCCCCTCAAAGGCAAGAACCATGCCCTGTTCCCCTCTCTTTCTCCTGGTGCCCACACAGGCCTGGCACAGACCCTGCTGTGGCACACATCTCATGAGGAAGAGATGAATGAGTGAGTGAGTGAATGAGTGAGTTTGCACTGATAGTCAAGAGAGAAATCCTGAATGACGAATTGGGAGGCAGAAGGGGAAAGTGGCTCGTTTTAAAGATGCCTCACTCTTGGACTGATTTTCCAAGGAGTATTTTAGGGATCTCACTCAAGTCCCAGTGCACCTCAGAGAATCATGGAGTCAGAGCCAAAAGTCTTCCCAGGAAAGGGGGCCGGTTTGGTCTTCCATGCACCAAGTCTTTCGTCTGCTACTTCAGGGTCTGCTGGTTTGGGTGTTCTCCTCTCAGAGGGAAGAACAGCTCCCTTGACTCTCAGAGGCTTGGCATCCTCTTTGTTCCCTGGAGTATCAAGACTGACAGCACCATTGGGAAGTTTCTCTGTGGACACTGGCTTTGGTACCCAGTGGTCTGCCCAGCACACTGGTGGGGTGAAATGTCTCAGTCATGGGGACAGAACCCAACTTGGATCCTGATAGTCCATATCCTGTCCACCTGCCCCACCCCGTCCAGGAGGTGCTGGAGGAGTGGCTGAACTGTCAGCGGGCCTGGCTCTACCTGGAGCCCATCTTCAGCTCTGAGGACATCAATCGGCAATTGCCTGTGGAAAGCAAGCGCTACCAGACAATGGAGCGGATGTGGAGGAAGATCATGAAGAATGCCTATGAGAACCGGGAGGCGAGCTCAGCGGGGATGCGGGGGCAACCAGGACCACCAAGGGTCTTCCTGGTCACATTGCTGGGAGCTTCCTGGTGTCTTCCCTCTCCACACAAGAAAGACTGGAGTACAAGTCTGACGCTTTGGTCTTGGCCCGTGTCCTCCAGAATGGGCTCCCCAGTCTCAGAGATGCTCCTTTGAAGCACAACCTTTGATGGTTTTTCTCTTGGAGATCTGCAGTCCACCTTAGCATTTTAGGGACTTGGACAAGTTCTGCAGCAAAGCAAACTTCTTGCCTTTGTTTATCCCTAATTTATTTGACCATAGATTTTTTTGGGGGGGGGGCGCTGATGAATACATCTCTGGCTCAGGGACAGTTTTCTTGCCCACTTCCTTCCCAGGCCCCAATGAGGTCTCTGTCTGGCAGGTGTCTCTCTGGGGATCTGGACTTACTGCCTCCCAATTGGACCATGCTCACTTGCAGTTTCTCTTCCTGGTCGGGGTCTTACAGGTGATCAACGTGTGTTCCGACCAGAGACTGCTGGACAACCTGCGGGACTGCAACAAGCTGCTGGACCTGGTGCAGAAGGGCCTCAGCGAGTACCTGGAGACCAAGCGGAGTGCCTTCCCCAGGTGGGTACCGCCTGGCCCATGCCCACTCTGTCAGTGTCGGTACACATGGCTGGGGCACCAAGCGCCCTGCTCAGGCTAGGATGCAGGGATGTCAGTGGTGCTGGGGCCCAGGGAGCCTACCTGACCCATCTTCTCACCCTGTTCCCCTGGCAGATTCTACTTCCTGTCAGATGATGAACTGCTAGAGATCTTGTCCCAGACAAAGGACCCCACGGCTGTGCAGCCCCACCTGCGCAAGTGCTTCGAGAACATCGCCCGGGTAGGTAGCTGGACCTGGAGCACTAGGGCACCTTCCCAGGGAGAACATCTCTTTTTGTGACAAGCCCTTTTAGCAGGAAATGAGGTGGCAAGTGAGACTCCTAGTCTTTAGAGACACACTGAGACCTGTGGGAAGAAGGTCAACTATAGAACATCCAGTCCAGGACTGGGCCCTGGGCTCCCAATTCATCCAGCACTGAGACGTTGGCTGGTCAAGAAACCCATGAGGCCAGCAGGCTTGTGACCCTGCTGACTTCCCTTCATCTACACAGGAGGCTGCTCAGCCCTGCACAGGATGGAGCCATGCAAGGCGGGCCTAGCCTCCATCCCCAGGGGCCTGCTTGGTGCCAGGTCTAGACTGGGACTAGGCCACAGCTGGGGTCAAGGCAGATCCATCCAGCCCACCTGCAGTCAGGGAAGGCCCAGCCATGATAGACACTCAAGTGGGGCAGGCCCCCAACCCCCCAAGGCAGAGCTCTCTTCCTCAGGTTGAGGACACCAGCAGGGTCAGCCCTGGGGCTGTGATAGGGTTCCAGGTACACTCAGCATAACCCCACTCCTGTTCCCCCATCGCCCACAGCTGCTGTTTCAGGAGGACCTGGAGATCACACACATGTACTCAGCAGAGGGCGAGGAGGTGAAGTTGTCCTTCTCCATCTACCCCTCCAACAATGTGGAGGACTGGTTGCGGGAGGTGGAGCACAGCATGAAGGACAGCGTGCGCGACATCATTGAGAAGGCCATCAAGGCCTACCCCACAGTGAGCCGTGCCCCTGCCCTCACACCTTCCCAGCCCAGTTCTTACCTCTGCTCCCTTCTCAGTGCCACTCTTGCTCCTTGGCGGCTGCTGCTCTCGGTCAGCCATGAGGACTCCGGGGACTCAGGAAGAAATATGAAAGCTTTTCTTTCCACATACGCTGCAGAAGTGACACTTACTCCTGATAATAATTATAATCGCTGTGGGTTTGGAGCACTCAGAGCATGTCAGGCCCCAGGCTGTACTACCTCTCTCAGCCCCACAGCCAGCAGCTAGGCTCTAGGTTAAGTCCTAGCCTACAGAGTCAGTTCAGAAATGTCTCTGCCCACCCCTGAGAAGACCAAAGTTTCTCTGCTTTGGAAGGACTATTAACAACTTGAGCCCAGAGTTTGAAAGGCCAAAACACAGATGGCATTCACAAGAAGAGACAGGATCAGGGCTGGCCGCTGCCCAGGTCAGCCTGCCCATGTTGTCTTCCCAGATGCCCAGAACCCAATGGGTTCTGAACTGGCCTGGCCAGGTGACCATTGCTGGGTGCCAGACCTACTGGACCATGGAGGTGGCGGAGGCTCTAGAGGCCGGTGACCTCAGCAGCCGGCTGTTCCCCCAGCTCTCCCAGCAGGTGGGAGTCAAGAGGATCACTGTCTGCTCCTCCACACCCCACACCCCCTGGGGCCCCCGTCTCCCTCCAGGAGCTTTTTCCCATATTGACCCTGGACAAGGCCCTGGGGTTGGATCCAAAAAGCAGGTCAAACATCCCTGAAGTGAGTGTCTCACAACCAGCCACCAGAAGGGACCATGGGCCTGAGGAGGGTTCTGAGACCAGACAGGTGCCCTTCCCAATGGTCAATGAGGGAGACTTATACCTAGGTACTTCCTGCACAGTCCCTCGGGCTCTCCTTGTTCTGTGCTCTGGTTCCTCGCCAGGCTCCACCACCTGGCCCTTGGAGGTTGGGTGGCACAATATGCTACAGGGAAGCAGATGCCAGGCATGTACATCCGTTTTTATTTGCTTCATTCCCCCTGCCCAATTCCTGCTCCCTTCCTATCCCAGACCATCATTAGAAGCCCCCAGGTTGGAGGAACTGTGCATGAAAGAAACCCATCCTCTGTGTAAGGGAGGAGGAACCTCCCTGCAGCTCCCCAGTCCCTAACAGTGCCTCCTATACTCACAGCTCAGAGACCTGGTGGCCCTGGTGCGGGGAAAGCTGTCCTACATGCAGCGGGCAGTACTGTCAGCACTTATCGTCATTGAGGTCCATGCCAAGGATGTAGTGAGAAACCTGATCCTGGAGAATGTGGTCAGCGTAAATGACTTTGAGTGGATCTCCCAGCTGAGGTGAGGGCATGGGGGCCACCCCCAGGGCCAGAGCAGCTGCCAGGAGGGGCCGGGGAAGACTGGAGTGTCAGTTAACACTGAGCTAGTCCCTGTCCTCAAGGCTATGGGAGAAGCTGGGCAGGAGTACCTTGATGTCCTCATTCCCAAAAAGAACTCCTCTCTTCAACTACATACCCTGCCTAGTGGCTCATGGCCAGGACCTCATCTCCTGCACTACCAGGTACTACTGGACAAATAACAACCTGTATATCCGTGCTGTGAATGCCGAGTTCATCTATGGCTATGAGTACCTAGGCAACAGTGGGAGGCTGGTGATCACGCCCCTCACCGACAGGTAAAGGTCCTACCCCATGCTCCCCCCCACACTGAGACCTTCTCTCCAGCTCTCACTGGCCCAGGATTCTGGAGAATAATTCCATGATGATCTAGTCCAATCAAGCAGTGCAAAGTTAGGAGCACAGACTCTGCTGGGCACTGAAAGGGCCTTGGGCAGGTGACTCAACTCTTTTGTGCCTCAGTTTCTTCCGAGGCCTCCTCAGGGTGGCTATGAGAATCTCAAAAGCAGATACACATAAAGTTCTTAGCACATGGGTGTCACTCAGTAAGCATCTAATGGGTATGTACTTTACTGTTTATGTCACATCCTCTTTAAATATGCCAGAGGAACTATTCTTGAGAGAAATAATGAGCAAATCCCCTCGTAGCAGTTCTCTCTAAAGCAACCAGGCATTTTACCTTGCTGCCTGTGTTTAATACCAGCTGGGTTTTGAGTAAGGAAAGTGAATATGGCCACAGGTCGGCTGTCCCAGTGGGTCCCTACAGGGCTGTGAAATGGGGCAGGGGAAGCACTGGTCAGGTGGCTGCAGGCTCCAGTCCTGACCTCAGCAGCCAGGGCTGTGCACAACTGAGGGCCTGAGGGGGCATGGAGTGCGAGAGTCGCCCTTCCACAGGACTCTAGAGGAGAAGGCTCTCCCAATGCTTGTGGAAATCCCAAGGAAGGGGGGGTGTCCAGGATGTTTGTGGCTCGTGCCCACCTCTCCTACAGGTGCTACCTGACGCTGACCGGGGCCCTGCACCTCAAGTTTGGGGGTGCCCCTGCTGGCCCAGCTGGCACAGGCAAAACTGAGACCACCAAAGACCTGGGCAAGGCCTTGGCCATACAGACCGTTGTGTTCAACTGCTCTGACCAGCTTGACTACATGGCCATGGGAAAGTTCTTCAAGGGCCTGGCCAGGTAAGGCTGGGTGTGAGCGTGGTACAGGACAGGGCAGAATGTCTGATCTCTCCCGGGGAGGGCTAGGCAAGGGTACTGCCTGAAAGGAGCCTCACAGGACAGTGGAGGGGACAGAATTTGGTAACAGGAGTCAAGGGCTTAGCCCTGGTGGGCACTGGGGTAGGGGGTGGCAGTGGAATTGTGGCTGAGCTGATGGAAATCACCACTGAAGAGTCAGAGAGGGAGATCGCCCAGTGGAGTCAGATGGGGCCCTTGGAGGGAGGTGCCAGACTGGGCTCCTCATTTAATGTTCTGGCTTCACTTAGTGCCGGGGCCTGGGCCTGCTTCGACGAGTTCAATCGCATTGACATTGAGGTGCTGTCTGTGGTGGCGCAGCAGATCACCACCATCCAGAAGGCGCAGCAGCAGCGGGTGAGCCTCGGGGCGCCACCCACACTGCTATGCCTCCCTCCCCATTCTTCAGTTCTTGCCACGCTTGTGTTGCCATGCAGCCCCCACACTGCAAGCTGAGAAGCAAGGCACTGGGGCCTGTGTTGGGTCTAGCCTCTCATCTTACAGGGTACAGCACTGTTCTCCCACCTTGCTGAGCTGTTCCTGACGGCTTTTGTAGCCATCAGGAAGCCCAGCGTCCTTATCCCAGTTTGGCAGCTCCCAGGCCAAACTGCAGCAGATGAAGAGTTCTTTCCCTATATCTGACCCCTGTGGAAAGCCCCAGGTATTGGTCCTCTCTCTAGGCATGTGCAAGGTGGCCAGGGATCTTGTCCTGGGGACAAGAACTGAGAGACTGGTAGATACCACCTCCTTACCAAGTAGGGCCCTGAATCCTAGTCAGGGCTGAACTTGCCTGAGTTCTGGGATATTCAGTGTCAGGAACTGGGGGGTGGAGGAAAGAAGGAGATGTGTGGAAACTTCAGAGGACCTGGAGTCAGGACCTAGGAGGCCATGGGTCCTGGAACTTGAGGTTTTAGGCCAAATCCTGAGAGAGGATCCAACCCGTGATCAGGGGTCCAGTCCTGACCAGCTATAGCCAGGACAGAAGCATCAACAAGGGATAGAGTCTACCCAGAGGAGGGGACAGGGCTGGGTACTCTTGCCCCACGTGAATCAGCCCTCCCTACCCCCTGCAGGCGGAACGCTTCATGTTTGAGGGTGTCGAGATCCCACTTGTACCCTCCTGTGCAGTGTTCATCACCATGAACCCAGGATACGCTGGCCGCACAGAGCTACCTGACAATCTGAAGGCAAGTTCAGGCCCAGGGTGGCCCAAGAAGCACTGGAGCTCTGGCATGGGTTCAGAGATGCTAAATCACTTATGCAAGGCCACACAGCTGCTTGGCCTTTAAGGACTGTAACTCCCCTGATAACCCTTCTGCCCAGAGGTCCTAAGGTCTACCCCTAGCCAAATAGGGAAGGCTTGCCCTCAGGGCATGGGAGAAGTCAGAGCTGCCTATGTGTATGTGAGGGAGATTTGGGGGGAATCTGATGGGAGCTGCTCAGACTGGGTCTTTAGAAGAAGCAGGAAAACAGGTCCCAAGAGGAGCCATCTCTGGGGAGTTATATGGGAACAGGTTCAGATCAAGACAAAAGACTTCTAATGGCCAGGGTAGTCCAACCTCAAGGGAATGCAAGCCTCAGCTATGGAAGGCATAGTGTAGAGGCGAATCACAGCATTAGCTGGGAAGGAGGGCCAGGTGAAGTTGGTGGTGCTCTGAGGGTGAGGTCTGCCTGCCATTCACATGTGTGCCATGTGCTCCAGGCGCTCTTCCGGCCTGTGGCCATGATGGTTCCGGATTATGCCATGATTGCTGAGATCTCCCTTTATTCCTTTGGCTTCAATGAGGCCAATGTACTGGCTAAGAAGATCACGACCACTTTCAAGCTGTCTTCGGAGCAGCTAAGCTCCCAGGTGAGGTCCCACCCTGACTGGGTTCTGAGAACTGCTGCTTGCCTGCAGCCTCCAGAGAAGCTCTGAATTCATCTTCTATTGAGCACCTGCTGAGGGCTAGGCTCAGTGCTAGATGCCTCACAATCATTATCTTGTTGACTCCTCTCAGCAACCCTGTGAGATAGGAGTTACATGCCCATTTTTAAGTTGAGGACACTGAGGCCCTAGGCGGCTGAGAACCTGGGCAGGCTCACACAGTGCACAGTGGAGCTGAAGCAGGATCCAGGAACAGATGCCCACATGGCTAGTTCAGGTGCAAAGGAGGGTTAATCTTTAGGGGATCAAGAGCCACAAAACCCAAGGCTGGGAAGCAAGTATACCTGGGCCTCAGGAGGACCAGAGCAAGACAGCCAGGTCCTCCAAGCCTCCCAGCACCATGACTTTCCACTCAGTGTGCTGAACCAGATTCCAAGGGCAGATGGGCTGGGCTGGCACCAGCACCAGCAGGTGAGCTTTCCTGTTCAGCTTCACCCTCAGGCAAGCTCCCCCTTTGTAGCAGCGAAGATGAGTCCCACCTGGGCTTACTGCCACCAACTGAGTTTCTCCAGGAAAAAACCCTGTGTCAGCCTACTGGGCCTTTTCTGGGTCACCTGCTCATCCACGAACACCAGTCACTGTGTCCAGGGGGAAGCAATACTGCTTTTGGCAAGTGCAGCCCACCAAAATCTGTGGTCTAGACAAGAAGTGATGTTACCAGGGAAAACAGCAGCAGTCTACCACAGTACACCCCTGGGTGCCAGCACCCCCACACATCCTTCCTTCCAATTATCCACTTTGAAAAATGACCTTCCTCACATTAAAACAACTATCCAACATGGTTCTGAAAATGCAATCAGTCTATCCCAAGTAGCAGTGACCCAAAGTCAAGGCCAGTCTCTCCATGCAGCTCCAAGTCTAGCTGGTCTATGGATTAGGTCAAGATGAAGCTCCCATGGCCTGGCACCATGGGCCAAAGTGATAAATTTATTTCCAACACACCCACCGTGCAATGGAGAAAAACAAATTAGTGGGAGAAGCCATGGTGGTGTGGTCAAAGAGATGGATCTGGAGGAGTGTCATGGGAGAATGTTAGGAGGAGGCTCAAAGGCCATCAGGTCCAAGCCGCTTGTTGCATCGATGGAAACTCCTTCACTCACTTTTCCAACACAATGGGAGTGCCTCCTTGCCTTGGTGATGTGCTGGGACTGCAGGGATTTAGCAGTGACCAACACAGAGTTGAGCAGGGGATTCAGAATGGATAATCCAATAAAGTGAGAGGACCACTGGGACAATGAAGGAGAGGGTGCCAGAGGAGCCAAAGGAGGGAACCCTGTCCAGGTTGGGGCATGTGGGTGGTTGCAGAGAGCCTGCAGGGGAAGTGACATTTCAGCTGAGAGCTCGGCAGTGAGTCATGACCAGGTACCTGGTTGAAGGCAGAAGCCTGAGGGGGACATCACTCACCCACACCTCCTCCTGTTTGGCGACAGGATCACTATGACTTTGGGATGAGAGCTGTGAAGACTGTGATCTCGGCTGCTGGGAACCTCAAGCGAGAAAACCCCAGCATGAATGAGGTGAGCTCCATCCAGAAGGATTCCCGGGGAGCAGGGCTCTGGAGGGGGCCTGGGCAGCAACTAGAGGGGTATCTGGCCCACTGCTCTAAAGCTCCACTGGCACCTACTGCAGGAACTGATCTGCCTCCGGGCCATCCGCGACGTGAATGTGCCCAAGTTCCTGCAGGAGGACCTCAAGCTCTTCTCTGGGATTGTGTCTGACCTGTTCCCCACTATCAAGAAGGAAGAGACTGACTACGGCATCCTAGACAAGGCCATCCGCAAGGCCTGTGAAAAGAGCAACCTCAAGGATGTGGAGGGTGAGCTCTGGCCCCTGTCTTCCCAGAGCCCCATGGGTGTCTGAGGAGGGGCTGGCTCGGGCCACCTTGGAGTCCAGGGCAGTGGGACAGGGACAGGGCAGTCTAGCCTCAGGGTCCCTCACACCTGACCAAGCATGCTACTGACTGGGACTCTCAGTCGTGCCATCCAAGGGCAGGGCAGGAGCCTCAGTCCTGTCTTCACCAGAGCCACCTGGTGCTGAGGGACAGGTTCTGTCTCCTTCCCAAGACCTCACAAGTTCAGCCCTCCTTCCCCCTTGGGTCATGCTTCTCTGGCACCGGCTCCTCATTGCTTTGGGTGGGAGTGGAGCTTTGGTGCCATGTTCCACATGCTTCACTCACCTCACCACAGCCATCACTCTCCTCTTCTGAAGGCTGCTTAGCCTCTACCCCACTAGTGGGGCTTGCTTGTGTTCCTTGTTGAGTGACAACCTGGTATTATTGTGCAAAGGAACGTTTGGGCCCTTCCTTAGCTGGCTTGTTATAAAGGCACCATGTAACTGGAAGTGCTCTGGGGATACTGCCCTTAAAGAGATGCCATCTCACCCCAAACCCTTTTCCCTCATAGCAGGAACTCAGTTCAGCCACTGCATGTCCATGCAGCTAGAGCTCTCTTGTCCTCACTGTCCCCTAGTTTGCCTACTCCCTCTTCTCCAACCAGATTCTTCTCACTGGTGCTGGTCCTTTGGGGGTGGGGGAAGGGGGAGATACTCCTCCAGTAAGTCATGCCCAGCCACTCTGGCTACACAGGGCCCTCCCTGAGACCTGAGCAGTTGGTGGGCTCTTGCTCAGCCCTGCAAGTCTTCTCCCCCGGAGCCTTCTGTTGCTCTTCAATTCCGTATGGCTCTAATGCTTCCTTCTCTGGCCACCACCTGCACCCAGGCCCCAGCAGACTTGGTGAATGAAGCCTCAAACTCTTCTCTCCTTCACAGCCTTAGGTAGCTTTGCCATCCCTGGCTAATTAGAGCCCATTCCTTTGGCAGGGACCCCCCCAGACCTGCAGTGCCATAGCCACCACCACCCACCTTGGGCCAAAGTAATGCACTTATTCCCTACCCATGCCAGCCTGACCTCTGCCTGCAGCTGCAGCTGTCTCCGTGACTTCTGACTGACCCTAGGGTTTTGCCTCGTATTGGCCAGCACTTACTTGGGTGGTGCTCTCAGCAGGCTAGGGCAGAAGTTGATCTTGGGCCTGTGACTGTCGACACTGAGCAGGCCTGTGATGGCTGACCACCTGACCAATGGATGTTAGAGAATGATAGCCATAATAGAAGAACTGGCTGGCATTTAGAGAGTTCCTACTCTGTGCCAGGCTCTGTGTTTGGGGTTTCATCTGCCCCTACTTATGAGGTAGGTGCTACCACCACCCTCATTTTACAGATGAAGAAACTGAGGCTCAGGAAGATGAGCGACTCGCCCCAGGTTACACAAGCTAATGTATAGCCAGGGATCAAGCCCATGCTCTGATCCCTGCCCTCCCCTACTGTGTCCCCTAGGCTTCCTGACCAAGTGCATCCAGCTCTATGAGACCACAGTGGTGCGGCATGGCCTCATGCTTGTCGGGCCCACAGGCTCCGGCAAGAGTACCGTAAGCAAAGCCAAGTTTGGTAGCTCAATTCCTGGACAGTGGGCCTGAAGGGTGGTGTGGTTTCAACAGGGGCGCTGGCCTCCATTTGTACCCCTTGGCCTCTAGAATACCCTTCCCACTTCCTATGGTCTCCAGCCCACCCCAACCCTGCTCTCTGGGAACTAGGAGGCTCACTCTTGGGTGGCCCCTTTCCCCAGTGTTACAGAGTCCTGGCAGCCGCCATGACATCGCTGAAAGGGCAGCCATCCATCAGTGGTGGCGTATATGAGGCTGTCAACTACTACGTGCTCAACCCCAAGTCCATCACAATGGGTCAGCTGTACGGGGAGTTTGACCTGCTCACCCATGAGTGGTGAGTGGCCCTGACCCTCTCCAGTGCTACCCTGCTCCCAGATCTCAGGAGGATGTAGGCCATGGGGCCCCCTCCTCCTCCATTAGCCCAGTGGAAGGTTGGGAGTCAGGCTTTACAGCCCAATGCCTGAGATTCTATCCACCATTTCACTTCCTCTCTGAGTGACCTCCCTCACCCCCCTTACTGCCCTCATCTGCAAAGGGGGATAATGATGGCACCATTATTATGGTAAGGCATGTAGAAAAGTGCCCCAGCAGTGTCTGACATGCAGTGAGCACTCAACAAATGACTGTTGTCATTACCTGAGAAAGGTTGGTGGGCCCTCTTAGGGTCCCTGCTCCCAGGATAGGGTGTGCATCTTAGGGGAAGTGCACTAAGGTGGGAGAAGGGCAAATGGATGGAGACCTCCTCAGACATTTGCATCTGAGGATCTTTTCTCTGGGACTATTCTGTTTCTCCAAAGAAGCAGTCTTCTGCTGGGGGTGTCTGCTTGGCTCCAGTGTTCTGGGGGATGGGCACTGGGGAGAAAGAGCCACCCATTTTTCCCAACATGGGCCTATACTGCTTCGTCCATTTCTGGTGGAGGGTCTCACCCACGTCCACTCCCAGCTATTATGTAAGTAGGCGGGGAACCTGGGGGTCAGACCAGAAAAATATCCCCTGTTAAAAAAAAAAAGGATTCAATGTTACTTTTTTTTTGAGTTGGAGTCTTACTCTGTCGCCCAGATTGGAGTGCAGTGGCCACTTTCGGCCACCGCAGCCTCGACCTGCTGGGCTCTGGCGATCCTTCCGCCTCAGCCTTCC